AGAGCTAATGAACCTAGGTATTCGTCAGGTTGGAGATGTTTATCATAAATTAAAACACAGAATGAATAAATAATAACCACAATGAAGAAATATAATTATGAAAAATTAATAACAGGCAGATGTCAAAATAGAAGGTTATGTAAGCTCAATAAATCATCATTTCTTAAGTGTTCTCTGATGAACGGTGCAAACCAGCGTCGAAGGAGCTATGTCTGGGTGTCAGGCAGTTACCCACTAATGAGAGAGCAGCAGTTCTGTGTTTTACCTCCCTGTTTCAAATAGGAAAACTATATTTTTATGTCATTCACTTTACTTACAGTTGAGGTAGAATGATGATGATAACCTACATCTCAGCAATGTTTTCCCATGTGCTTCATTCTTCTCTCAATATTTTAACTTTAGATCCTTGGTTGCTAATGTGCTTAAACCACAACTATCACTAAACAACAGGCCTACACTGCAGATTCTTTCCATTCTTTCTTGGGCCCATAAGTGAGCAGAGTTTTAAGTAAGAAATTTTCCTGAAGCAATTTGGGCATAGGTGCCTAGAGCCTTCAAAATATTTATACTCACTAAGCTGTAATTTCACCTCTGGGAGTCTCTCTGAGGAAAACAGACTGAGATATGGAAAGAGTATTAGTATTATGATACCCATTTTAGGATTATTATAAGAGTGAAAAATTAAAGTATAATCTCATTTTTCTTTATTCTTGATTATATATTCTGGCTTCCTATATAAACATTTACTCACTTTATTTGTATCATGTAACAATTTTTATAAAAATTCAAATCTCACAAAAGGGTATGTAATGAGAAATGAGTTTCTCTCCCATCTAGCCTCCTAGACCTGCTCTCCAGAGACAACTGCCATCAATAATTTCCTGTTTATCTCTCTCAAAATTTTCAGTTTGAATAAGCAAATAAATACGCATCCTGCATTTTTATGTAAAATGGGAGTATACTATCTTCACTATTCTGCACCTTGCACTATATCTTGGAAGTTTTTCTATATCAGCACATTCCATTCTTCTTTATTGTATTCCATTGTAATCATGCATCAATTTAATTAACCAGTCACATTTGAAAGACATTTAAATCGTTTTCATTTTCTGGCTTTACAGTGTTGTAGTAAGTATACCTTCTGGCAGTCTATAGACTGCCAGAAGAACAAACAAATCTGTCTTGGAAGAAGTACAGCCAGAATATTCATTAGAAGTGAGGATGGTGAGACTTTGTCTCACATACTTTGGACATGTTATCAGGAGGGATCAGTCCCTAGAGAAAGAGATCATGCTTGGAAGAGTAGAGGGTCAGCAAAAAAGAGGAAGACCCTCAACAAGATGAATTGACACAGTGGTTGCAATGATGGGCTCAAGCATAACAACGATTGTGAGGATGGCACAGGGCTGGGCAGTGTTTCATTCTGTTGTACACAGAGTTGCTATGAGTCAGAACCAACTCAGTGGCACCTAACAACAATAAGTATACCTGCACATATATTTTTGCATACATGAATAAATATTATGGGGTAAATTTCTAGAAATTAAATTGTTAGATCAAGGGATAAGAGTTTTAAAATTTTTGATAGATTTTGCCTCCCTGTGTTCTAAAGATTTGGACTTCTAGCCTCCAGAACTGGAGAAAATAAATTTATGTGCTAAACCAGAAAAACCCATTGCCATTGAGTCTTTTCTGACTCACGGCAACTCTATAGGACACAGTACAACTGCTCCATAGGGTTTCCAAGGAGTGGCGGGTGGATTCAAACTGCTGATCTTTTGGTTAGCAGCGGAGCTCTTTAACCACTATGTCACCAAGGCCCCTATTAATCAAGCTCCCACCCTGAGTGCTATCACTAACACTGTGTGGTGTCAAGCTCTTAAACTTTGTAAATCTGATCAGTGAAAATGATACTTCATTGCTTTAAACTGAATTTAACTAATTGCAATTTAGGTTGATATCTTTTCATATGTATAGGAACCATGTGGATTTTTTCTTCTGGAACTTCATATTTACAGCCTTTACCCATTTGCCGATAGATTTTCTTTTTCTTAATTGATCTATAAGCACCATGCATTTCTTTTCTTTTTATGTACAGTTCTATGAGTTTTGATAAATACTTGCAGTCATGTAACCACTACCACAATCAAGATATAGCAGTTCCATCACTCTGAAAAATTTCCCTCATACTGCCTCCATGTGGTCAATTCCTTCCCAGTTCCCAATCCCTGGCAATTACTGATCCGTTCTCCATCCCAATAGTTTTACCTTTTCCAGAATGCCATGTAAATGAATTAATTATATAGTAGGTAGTCTTTTGAGTCTGACTTTTTCCACTTAGAAAAATGCATTTGAGATTCACTCTTGTTGTGTGTATCAATAATCAGTTCCTTTTTATTGCTGAATAGCATTCCATTGTATGGACGTACCACAGTTTGGTTACCCGTTCCCCAACTGAAGGACTTCTAGATTATTTTCAGGTTTTGGTAATTATGAATAAAACTACTGAAAATGTTCACCAAAAGGTTTTTGTGTGAACATAAGGTTTTATTTCTCTTGAGTATACCCAGGATTAAGATTACTGGGTCATGTATTTTCTTCCCATTTGTGGCTTGTGTTTTATTCTCTTAACAGAGTCTTTCACAGAACAAGCTTTTAATTTTGATGAAATCTAAATTATCAATTTTTTTTTGTTATGAATTGTGATTTTGGTGTTGTATCTAAAAATTACTTCCCTTTCCCAAGGTCGTGAAGATATTCCTTTTGTGTTTTTTTCTAGAAATTTTATAGTCTTACATTTTGGTCTATGATCCACTTTGAGCTAATTTTGTATAAGGTTTGGGTATGGATCAAGGTGGGAGTCCCTGAGTGGCACAAATGGTTAAGGGCTCAACTACCAGCTGAAAGATTGGTGGTTCGAACTCACCCAGAGGTGCCTCAGAAGAGAGGTAGGGCAATCTGCTTCCAAAAGGTCACACCCTTGAGAACCCTACAGAGCAGCTCTACTCTGCACACATGGGGTTGCCATGAGTCAGAATTGACTGGATGGCAACTAACAACAATAACAATGGATCAAGGTCTGTTTTTTTTTTTTTAACGTGAATGTCCAATTGTTCAGCACCATTTGTTAAAAAAAAAACTATCCTTTCTTCATTGCGTTGCCTTTGCCCACTTGTCAAAAATCAATTAAACATATTTGTGTGAGTTGGTTTCTAGACTCTATATTCTGTTCCATTGATTGATTTGTCTATTCCTGCCCCTACACTGTCTTAATTACGATAGCTTTGGTAGTCCCTGGGTGCTGGAAACAGTTAACATGCTTAGCTGCTAACCAAAAGGTTGGCAGTTCAAGTCCACTCAGAAGCACCTCAGACAAAAGACCTGGCAATCTACTTCTAAAAAATCAGCCACTGAAAACCTTATGAACAAGTGTTAACTTTGGTGAAAGGAAAGACAACACACAATATAGGGGAAGTCTGCACAATTTGACCAAAGAAAGCCATAGAAGCTTCCTAGACACATCCAAACACCTTGAGGGACCGAGTTACTGGGGCTGAGGGCTTGGGACCATGATTTTGGGGGACATCGAGATCAACTGGTATAACATAGTTCAAAAGAAAATGCTCTACATCCTACTTTGGTGAGTATCATCTGGGGCCTTAAAAGCTTGCCAGCAGTCATCTAAAATACATCTATTGATCCTGTCACATTTGGAGCAAAGGAGAATGAAGAAAACCAAAGACACAAGGAGAATATCAGTCCAAAGGAACTAATGGACCACATGAACCATGGCCTTCACCAGCCGGAGCCCAGAACAACTAGATGGTGCCCGACTACCACCACCGACTGCTCTGACAAGGATCACAATAGAGGGTTCTGTGCCGAGTGAGAGAAAAATGTAGAACAAAATTCAAATTCACAAAAAAAGACCAGATTTACTGGTCTGACAGAGACAGGAGGAACCCCTGAGACTATGACCCCCAGACACCCTGCTGACTCAGAACTAAAGCCACTCCTGAAGCCCACCTTTCGGCCAAAGATTAGACAGGCCTATGAAACAAATAATAACACTCATGAGGAACATACCTCTTAGTTCAGTCAAGCATATGAGACCAAACGGCACCATCGGCCCAAAAGCAAAGACAGGAAGGCAGAAAGGGACAGGAAATCTGGATGAACGGACACAGGAAACCCAGGGTCTAAAGGGAAAGGGGGAGAATGCTGACACAATGTGGGGATTGTAACCAGTGTCTCAAAACAATTTGTGCATAAATTTTTGAATGAGAAACTGATTTGCGCTGTAAACTTTCACCTAAAACACAAGAATTTTTTTAAAAAAAAAACAAATTAATTTAATCAGAAATGCAATTACTTTAAAAGAAAACTCAAGCCAAAATGTATTAATTTTGGAGATTACAATATTTACATAAATTTATCTGTTATAATCAAATGCATGAGTCATTTAATCTCTTTGAATTAGTTTTCTAATACATACAATAAAAGAATAACAATTTGAAAAAAATAAAGAAAAAAAGAAAGAAAATCTTATGAGTACAGTTCTACTCTGACACATACAGAGTTGCCATGAGTTGGAATTGACTCGACGGCAACTGGTTTTATATAAGTCTCGAAATCAGACAGTGTGAGTCTTCCAACTTTGTTCTTTTTCAAAATTGTTTTGACAAATCTAGTTCTTTTGCCTTTTCATCGAAAATTTAGAATCAGCTTGTTAATATCTACAGAAAAGTCCTGCTGGGATTTTGATTGAGATTGTCCTGGATCTACAAACCAATCTGGGAAGAATTGAGTTTTGAAGACAACTGCCTGTTCGTAGCTTTTGTCCATTTGTTTATTGATTTTTTTCTTTATTAATTTGTAAAATCCATGTGTTTCTTTAAAAACGGAAACTTTAGGGGGGAGAAAAAAACCAAAAACACTTCATTGGACCAGCAGATGTGGAAACAAGCACACTAACTGTGTTGATTATTTCCCCTTCTCAGGCTCAGAGAAGAATGGAAGCAGAGGCTGGAGAAAAGGCTGAGGATGCTGGACAACCCTGATGATGAAGAAAAACAGGAAAACACAGTCAGCTGAGAGCCTCCTGTGTCATTGACTAAAAAGATAACAAGCCACCAAGGGCACTTTTCTAGGAGAAAAAGATAACACCCAAGTTATTTTAACTTACAAAGCAGAACACCCTCTACTTGCTCTCCCAGTTAGTGAGGGGATTTGCATGTGAAGCCTCTCCTCACAGTGCTAATGGGAGTTACTATCCAGCTCAACCCTTTCTGCACAGAGAATGAGATGACCGCAAATGGGATATGAAGCTTGGGTTATTTTAATATAAAAAGCTCCTAGAATTAGCACTCCACAGTTTCTAAGATCCATGTAGCATAATTCATTTCCATTTTACTCTCATTTTGAAATACTAAATGTTTTATCTAAGCTTGCCAAAAGCAATGATCTTGATGGGAACCTGGCTTCACCAGGTCTTCTGGAAAAAGAGTCATAAGATTTTTCTTCCTTTCCCTCATTTTCGTGAATACAGAAATGGAACTACTTGCAGAAATAAAGCTTTTGTTATAAAAAGGAGACTGTATTAACAATATGGTTGGAAATTTAACTGAACTGATTTTCTCTGCATATGAATTTGGTTGACTTTTTCATAAATGCATTTAATTAGAAACATGCAGTGAAAGTAAGATAATGCTTAATAAACTTGGTGGTTGTGCCCTCACTCGTGTGTACCCTCACTGATGTGCATCCTGTGTTAACCATCCACACCACACACTTGTCTTGGTTAGTTCTCTGGCGGTTTAGCAAGTGGCATCTCTAGCTCCCCCAGACACTTCCTGGGATTTAAAGTCATCCTCAAATTACTCTTCTCTCTGGCCAAGAGGATGATCACAGATGAGCAGCCATCTATCAATCACAGTAACAAGGGCCCCTCTGCCCAGAGAAGCAATTCTTCATTGGGGGACAGGAGCAGAGAGATGTGGAGTGGGGAGCCCTGAACACCCAAGGAACACAGGTCACCAGAGAGACACAGGGGGAAGGTGGGAGAGTGGTGAGGAGAGCATTCCAGCCCACATAGATGCCATGTGGTGGTGACATAAAGTGCTTCCTTCTGCTTCCCCTGGAAAACGGAAAGGAGTCATCAGGGCTAAGGGTGTCGCGGGGTGGCACAAGTGTCGAAGAAGTGTTTCCACAGTCCCTAGAGGTATGGGATCCAGGGGATTCAGGGCCCTGCTATGGGATCTTATTCAATCCAGATGTAACAAATAAGCAACCAACTGCAGCTGGGACAAGCTGAGCCAAGTTAATTGTTGTTAGCTGCCATCTTGTTGGTCCCCAACTCATGGTGACCCCATGCACAAGTGAACGAAATGCTGTCTAGTCCTGAACCATACTATGACAGGTTGCAAATTGAACCCTTGTGCTCCGTAAGGGTTTTCACTGGCTGATTTTTGCAAGTAGATCACCAGACCTTTCTTCCCGGTCCTTCTTAGTCTGGAAGCTCCACTGAAACTTTTTCAGCATCATAGCAACATGCAAGCCTCCACTGATAGACAGGTGGTAGCTGTGCATGAGGTTCATTGGCCAAGAATCAACCCAGGTCTCCCACATGGCAGGGAAGGATTCTACCACTGAACCACCACAATCTCAAAGTTTGGTTGTTATTGTTTGGTGCCATTGAGTCGTTTTCAACTCATAGCAGCCCCATAGGGTTTTCTATGCTGTAATCTTTACAATAAAGCGTTTGGCTGCTAACCAAAAGATTGGCAGTTCGAACCCATCAGCCACTCCTTCAGAGAAAGGTGTGGCTGTCTGCTTCTGTAAAGATTTACAGCCTTGGAAACCCTACGGGGCAGTTCTACTCTGCTCTACAGGGTCGCTATGAATCGGAATCGACTCAGTGGCAATGGGTTTGGTTTTTTGGGGTAATCTTTATGGAAGCAGATCACCAGGCCTTTCCCCTGTGGAGCTGCTGGGTGGGTTTGAACCACCAACCTTTTAGTTAGTAGCAAAGAAGGCTAATAAATAAAATAGAATTTCAGCAAGGACAGAGAACCATGGGAATAAATATCAAGAGTTCCTAACTATGTCTGGGGGTCAGGGAACGTCCGTTGAGAAACTGACATTTAAGCTGACACCTATAAATATAAGAAAGAGTTGTTCAGGGAAACAGTAAGAGGGAGTGACTTGGGCAGAGGAAACAGCATGTGTGAAGAACCAAAGAGGACTAGGTGGCCTTGGGGCGGGGGAGGGGTAAGTGGAAGGAAGGATACATCACACAATGAAGAAACAGGAAATGTGTGTCTGCAGCGAAGAGAATGAGGAAGGGAGCTAATCTACAGGAGGGTGGAGGGCAGAGCAGCGGTTTTGAAGCCAAGACCAAAGAATCTGGAATTATCCACAGGGAGCCATTAGCAAGTTTAAGTAGAGGAATGAACTGACTCAATTTCCATTTTTAATTTTTCTCAAATTTTGTACATACACATGCATATGTAATTTTATATAAGTGCATAAACATGATCATATCATGCATGCTGATGATTTTATTACAGTTTTATAGAACTTTTTCTCTTTTCTTTCTTTCGTTGGCCTGCTCACTCCCTTATTTCTCCATTCCCTACTGTCAGCAACACTTGCACCCAGTAACCCATGTGAACCTAGTGTGAATCCTTCAGTGTTTTTCTCCATGTTCACCTAACAATGTATTTACACACACATATACACACATTCTACATCTAAAGGGCTTTGTGTGAATGTGTTTCTGTGTTAAAATTTATCAGAATAAGATCATATTACACTTCCCTGCGTCTTGCTTTCCTCACTCAGCTGTACCTCATACAAATGCTTACAGTTCAATTTAGCTCCAATTCACATTTTTAATGATGTCATACTATGTCGTGGTGTGGATATTCCATAATAAAGTCAACAACTCTTTTAGAGGTGAACAGTCAGGTGATACCCAGGGTTTTGCCATTCAAGCAGTGCAACAGTAAGTACTCTCGTCCTTTATTCTTGTGGTTTTGTACTAGGAACTAGACTCCCAGGAGCGGGAAATTAGAAAACAGTATTTGCAGTTTTGTTTTTTTGTTGTTGTTGCTGTTTTGTTTTGTTTTTAAGATGTTACTAGAATGCTTTCCAAGGAGGCTGAAGAAATTTCTATTTGTACCAGCAGTTTATGAAAGTACCCTTCTCCCCACATTGCTGCCGGCAATAAGTGTCCTGTTACTCGTTTTTTCGAGTCTGGTGGGCGTAAAGTGACATCACTTTGTTTTTCAAGCATAGTGACTGGGGTTTCTTTTCATTTTCTTTGTTCATTATTTGGATTTCCTCATCTGTGAACTGCTTACTTGTACCTATTGCCCATTTTTCTCAGGTTTACCTTTTCATGCTAGTGTGGATCACTGTCTACACATTGTAAATTTACAGGGCAAGGATGATGCTGTTGTTAGATGCCATCAAGTCGATTTCTACTCAGAGGGCAAAGAAGACCTAATTAAATATTGATTATACAGTCTAAAAATCTTGAAGGTATAAAGGAAAAAATAGACATTTATTTTTATCAAAATTAAAAGTTTGTATGTGGCCAAATGCACATATAAAGGATAAGGAGAGTATCTTTGGAAGATTTGCATATTTGAATAATCACTTGGCTGCAGTTAGGAAAGTGATTCAGAGGCGAGATGGCAAGAGATACTGAGAGATCAGCTAGGAATTGTGTTGTTTTTGTTGTTAGCTGTCATCAGGTAGGCCCCTGACTAATGGGGACTCCGTATCCAACGGAACAAAACACTGCCCAGTCCTTTGCCATCCCCATGATTGGTTGCCTATCAGATCATTGTGATCCATAGGATTTTCATTGGCTGATTTTCCAAAGCAGATCATCAAGCCTTTCTTTCCAGTCTGAAACCTGTTCAGCATCATTGTTGTTATTGTTAGTTGCCATCTAATCAATTCTGACTCAGGGCAACTCCATGTGTGCGGAGTAGAACTGTGCTCCATAGGGTTTTCGAGGCTGTGATCTTTCAGAAGCAGATTACCAGTCCTGTTTTCCAAGGCACCTCTGGATAGCTAGTAGTTGAGTGCTTAACCATATGCACCACCTAGGGACTCCTAGCACCATTTTCAACATCATATCAACTCCTAGCATCATATTCAGCATCATATCAATATGTAAGCCTCCACTGACAGATGGGCTGTGGCTGTGCATGAGGTGCATTGACCGGGAATCGAACCTGGATCTCCCACACGAAAAGTGAGGATTCTCCCACTGAACCACCACTGCCCACTGTACAGAGGTCTAATGATAGAGAATGATGATGAGAACATAGAACTGATAGGTCTTACAACTTGATTTAGTGTAGGGGAGCAAGGCACGGAGATTCTAAAAACATAGATGTTAATTTAATTTAACATTTATTTAATGTGTTCTTAAGTAAAAAGAACATGAGCTTCGAAGGACAGCAGAGCTGGTTCTGATAACAGCTCTATTACTTACCAGTGGTGGGCCTTGGAAAAGGTGCTTTAACTCCCTGTGTTTTGATTTCCCTGTCTACAGTAATGGGCACGATATTACCTGTCTCTCAAGGTGGTTGAGGCTAAATGATCATGTGTAAAATCTTCTAGTGCCATGCCTGACAGAAAGCAAGCCCTCAGTGCACCTTCACTCTCTGTCTCACATCATTCCTCCCTCTGCTTCCTCCTTGCCATTGCTGGGCTGGGGTTTATACAAAATGCCATGTTGTCCTGGGGCAGTGGTTACCAAGCCTGCTCTTGAGTCAAAATCACCTGGAAAGCTTTTATAAATGTACAGATTCCTGGGCCCCACTCCCAGAGATTCTAAGTCTGTTGGTGTTGGGTAGGGTTCAGGAATCTGTATATCTAACAAGCTGCCCAGGAGATTCTTGGGAACCACTTCCCCAGAGGACTCAGAGTCCAGTGGAGAAGATAAACAATCAAGTCAGTGTGGCGAGGTCTTTAAGAGGGACTTGTGTGGTACTACGGGTGCTCCAGCCATGGGGAGGTACAGGGGTCTCACAGAGATGGTAAGATCCAGCCTTGAAGGAGGGGGCAAACAGCAT